GCCGTCAAAACAAAAATACAAAGGCAAGAAAAATTGCTATGTAGTACTCCATTCCTGTCGATGGAATTTTAATTTAAACTTTCAATTTCCGTCTTTCTCCGGTTTGGATGGGTTTTTCCGAGTCTGGGTCCGACACGGTTAGTACCGGGTTATCAGGTTTTTGCGATTTCTATGTCTTTTACAGGATGGTTCGTGACCGGCCCGCATATCTGGGCGGGTTTCGAGTCAAACAGAGCGGGCCGGGTTGGGTTTTACAACATAGCCTAAAAGGCTACCATAAAACTTTATCAAGTTTGAGAATTATTAATAAAGTAAAAACTTTATGGTTGACATTTGTGCAGAAGAGAGATTTATCTGGAATCACAAATCCATTAAAGTGGCAAAGGTAAGTGAGCAACAAAAAATGAAAAGTTGGCAAAAATTTAAGGGGCGGAAATAATAAAAGATTGTTGGATTAAGGGCTCGGGCTCATCTGTTAGTATTGAAATTGGACGAAACGGTTGAATCCATTGGCATTTATGAAATTTTGATTGAAGTAATTTATTTGGTTGAATCTGATGGAAAAATCAAATTTGTAAGTATATTATGTTAATAATTATAAGAAAAATTACATGAAAAATAGCTAATTCAACACGTGAAGTCGAAAACTACTTGTTTAGTTAAAAAAAAATTGACTAATAAATTGAAGATATGAGTTATCAAATAGGTTCTAAAACGAAAAACAAAAGTTTTATTGTGTCACTACTCATTTCCTTACCTTTTCCTCAGGTTAGTGGTTTAAAAAGAATTTCTGATAGACCCAAATTTTCTTCTAGAATTTCCATTCCATTTTTGTTTCATTTGAATAATCATCATATTTAGAAAAAGTAGTATGTCACTCGTGCGGGAGGTAATTTATAGTTATTATAAATCTAATAGCTTTAGGTCGGATGAATTTGTCGGGGCAAGACTCGTCCTTCCTTATGATACGAGTATGATAATGTGGAATATGAAAAATTGTTATTATGACTATTTCTATTTTCTATCATCGCGCCCGCCCTTCAAATGTCATCACATATTAGTAATTGTAGTATCAAATAAGAGATTTAGATTATACTCATATTATATTCATGGTATGAGAGATAGCCAATCAAATAACAATAATTAACATATCTCTCTCCTTATATGAAGAACCTTATATCATTTTGGTAAGTTTTTGTTCACAATGTCAAACACAATGTCTAGATGTAGACATTGTGGTTGACATTGCAGAGTAAAACTTACCAAAAGCACACAATACCGTGAAAAGACAGAGAGATGCCACATGTGCACCGTGCACATTGTAGCATTGGAGATGTTCTAACTCATTCATATTATATTCAACTAACTCTATTCATATCAGATTTATTTATAGAAATTGCCCTAAATAGGAGTAAAAACGCTTTGAAATTCCAAAATAGGAGTATAATGTTTTATATTCCTTGAATATGAGTAATCTGCCAAGTTTGAAAAAAAATGTCATGTTTAAAAGCCTAGTGATGCCAAACTTAGCAGAAATTTACTCCTACTTAGGGAATAAAAAACATGATACTCCTATTTTGGAATTTCAAAACTTTTTTACTCCTATTTAGGGATTTTACTCTTTTTTTAAGATCACATCGGCTTATTATGTTTACTTCTCTATGCTTAGATTAGTTGTGTCAGTATGTCAAACTATTCTCTTCTAATTAAGACCCAAATAATACTTAATAAGAAAATATTCCACTTTTGGTCTCATGACTATTATACCACTTCCACATTTAGTTCCTTACTTTCAGATTGTCCACATTTAGTCTGTGACCATTATCCCCTCACCACCCCTCGTCCTTCTGGTCAAAATTATGGCAAATTTTGTCCACTTCTCAGCCTCAGAATCAGTCATTGCATTAAATTTTGTATCAGGTTGGGTTTTTCATATCAGTCTTGCACTAAATTTGGTTTTTCATACCTAAAATCTGCATTAAATTTGCCGGAATTTTGGCCGAAAGGACGAGGGGTGGTGAGGGGATAATGGTCACGGACTAAATGTGGACAATATGAAAGTAATGGACTAAATGTGGAAGTGATATAATAGTCATGGGACCAAAAGTGGAATTTAATAATGACCTAACATTTCATTAATACTAACACAAGTATATTAAATATGTACTTTTTCACAAAACACTCATCAAAAATCACTTTTACATATCACCCATTTAAAAAAAGGTCAAATAAGGCCTTCTACTTTTCTCAAATCGTCACATAAGGCCTTCTACTCATAAAAGTGTCACCAACATATGTTTACTTTTTAAAAACGACCATATGAAGCATAATGACCGCTTAAAAATCCTCCAATCCCGGTTTCCGCTTACCTGGCACTCATTTTAGCAAATGTGTCATTTTCCCATGTCAGCCGCACAGTGTCCGAATACTCAGCATAAAGACATATATTGACATACCGGGTAAAAGAAAATAAGAGGATCGATCATCCAATCTGACTGCGACTAGGGTTTTGGAGAAAGATGGATTCCGCGATTAGGGACGAAGATTGAGAGTGAGGTCTTTGTTTCGCCGCTTGGGTAGTGACTGGGTTCGTTCATTTTCATTTACAGGTTTCTTTGGGAAAGTAAGTCAGTTTGTTATGTTCAATTTCACTGGTTTTTTTAAGTCTATTTAAGAATGTTTTTGAAAATTTATTGAAATTTGTATAGTTTAAGTGAAATTGTGAACATGAAATCTACTATAGTATCTAAAGAATTTGCATCTCAAGTCCTAAATCTCATTACTTTGTTTTTGCCTCTAAGTTGTATAGTTTAATAAATTTCATTACTAACGATACAAATTTCATTACACCGGTAAAAGTAGTAGTGTAGAACAGTTTTAAAATGAAACAAGAGAAAGTAAGGGGAAGAACGGTTTTTGCCTCAATAAATTGCAAGTATGGAGTTTCTTACAAATAACTATTTGAGAAGTTATCTATTTGAATACTCAATCTGTCAGTATTCTTATTTTCAGAATGTTTTTAGAAGCTGAGTTGAAAATCTACCATGGAGGAAATTTCAAGAGAATACCAAATCTTGCATATGTAAATGGTGATGTTGAGAGTATTGTTTTAGATCACTTGATGAAGTACATCACAGAGGATCAATGTTTATTCATGATAAAGAAGATAAACATTCAAAGTTGTTGATAAATCTAACTTTTTTGCTCTGATTTGAGACAACTTAGTACTTACAGAGTATTAACTTCATGCTTGGACAGAAAGTCAGAATATAGTGTTGTATTTTGTAGCTACATATCAACTACACAGTCTACACTGGATGAGAATAAAATGGATTGAGCCGGACCGGAAGCTGTGAAATGGAGTATTCATATTTTGAACATACGCCCCTCAAAATAAAATGGATTGAGCCGGACCGGAAGCATGGAAGGGACCTTCGTAAAGATGGATTAAAACAAGTTTCTCTTGCTTGATATAGCAAACTTATTTCTTAGAGCTGATTTTTCTAAGTGTCTTTATGAGCACTCATTGTTTGTTAAACTTGGAGGTAATGGAAAATTGCTCATAGTTTACTTATATGTGGATGGTCTCACATAGCAAGTATGCAAGAGATATAGTGGACAAATTTCAAATGAAGGAATGCAATCATGGGGTATCTCCAGCAGTGTGGTCTAAAAATTCACAAAGATCAAAATGATAAGAAGGTAGACAGCACATATTGTGGATGTATTCAACTGCAACGCGCCTAAACACACATAATGGAGCACCCTACAGAATTGCATAAGAGTGCAGCAAAGAGAATACTTCATCATTTGCAAGGAACTAGAGACCTTGGACCGTTTTGCAAGAAAGGTGAACAAACCAGCTTAGTAGGGTTCACTGAAAGTGATTATGCAGGAGACCGAAGAAGCACCTCGGGTACGTTGTTATGTTAGGAACAACGGCCATCTTGTGGATGTCAAAGAAACAATCTATAGTCACTTTATAACGTGCTGAAGCTATATATGTGACAGCAACTTCATGTGCTTGTTAAATCAATTGGTTACAAAGAGTTCTACATGAGCTGCAGACATCTACTACGACAACAACTCTGACAATCAAGATGCAACAAGTAAACACATTGATGTGAGGACTTCTTTTCTGAGAGACCTTCCTAATGATGGATTACTTCATTTGATCTGAGAAGGAAGCAGGGCGGGCCCAATGGCACAAGGTCCCTCCAAATTGAAAAAATGTTACTACTATAGTGTCATAGTCACTTTACTGTAAAAATTGTACATAAGTTACTATAACTAAAGTTACTAATATGGTTACAACACTTCAAAGGTCTTTTGTAAACAACCTTTATACCTGCAAAACTTCTCACACACAATAACAAAAGTACTTCCTCACCTTACTATAACTAAAGTTACTAATTTGGTTACTACATTTTGGATTTGGGATTCTAAATAGCAATGTGAATCATAGTTCTGACATGTTTAGCATTGCATGATAAAGAAGTAATGAGATTTTACAAAAATCTCCACCAAACTTGAATGCAAACACTTCCAAACACTTCGTCATTTTCAAAACTTTGACAAGCTATTTCTTTTTATTGGAAATTATTTATAATATAAAAATTATATGAAAATGTTCTTTGTTAAACGTACTTTCATCAAAGTATAAAAGTACTTTCAAAATCATTTCATATTTCAAATCTTTCAAGAACAATTTATCCAAGTTCTTTACATCGATATTTGGCATTGTCTCAACACTAAATTATCACTGTTAGAACTCTCATTCCTTGATCCTCACTACTTTTTATTTTATTTTCTTGATCCTCCATACTCTGTCAAAGTGGATGCTTTGTAAGGGAGAGTTAGAGCATATCTTAATGCTCTCATTTATCATTTTCTCTTAAACCAAATTACTAATCATTTAGTTTTTGGAGAGAACTCATGGCATTTTGAGAAGAAACTGAAACGTTATATTTGGATTCCGTACAACAATCATTATTTGGAGACAAATACAACAGATGAATTTATAGAAAAAACAGTATTTATTTATATAACATGGGCTGGCAAGTTCTCTGGCAATGCAATAGTAAAAATATACATACAAGCAACCCTAGAAGAGAAGCACTTTTGTTTATTTAACCGGATACAAAATCTTACATCAGTAAAATGGATTGGACCAACAAAGTCTAATTTTATCTAAGGGTCCTTTTACATTACACACTCAAATGATTAACATTTAATACCTACATACTCATGCTCTACCAGCTCTAATTCTACTTAACCGTGTCTAGCGTAGCATATATCTCTCTCAATTGGACAATTAAAACACAGGCCCCTGCCAGTTCAAACATCTCTCAGCTCTTATTGGCTAAGGACTTCATTGACTCTTTTCTCACTTCAGGTTGAAGCAGGGTGAGAGACGGTCATGTGGCGTTTTGGGTTGGGTTGACAGAAGAAGACTGGACGGGAGAAAGGAGGAGGCAACGGCGACAGAGTGGGCATGTGGTGCGGGTGGACAGCCAGTGGTCAATGCAATCGATGTGAAACGTGTGCCCGCATTTTGGCATTTGTTGAAGACGCTCGTCGGCTTCGTACTCCCCTAAGCACACTGAACATCTGCAAGGCCGGGGAGAAAACCTCAGAATGCAAACAATTTGATTTGGACTTCATCAAATAATACAAAATTGAACCATATCTTTTCAAGATTTATTTTCCACCAATGAGTGACCTGCTTCAATTAAATATGGATGAACGGATCCATTGGTTAGTGTTGTAAAATCTTTCTCACTTGGAATTAGATGGTTGAAATTTATTAATTAAGAAGCTAGAACCAATCAAGGAAATAGGAAAAACTTTTGAACGATCCAAAAGGATACTGGGAAGAACATCTTGTGACAGATTGAATACACAAACACAGGCACATATGAAAGAATTCAGGATTAGGCTGGGGTCACTAAATTGCGCCATAAATAAAGCCAAGCTATAAAATAAAATTCAACGTATATATTAACCAGTTCAACCTTATGCCTTATTTACTCATTATTTTTTAGTTCATTTCTCCAGCATGGGACTCCTCTAACAATGTGTATCAGTGTACATTTCCTCACTCTCTAGTCCCTTATTATTCCTCACTCTCTAGTTCCTATATCAATATGAGTGTCCACATTATGGAGTAACTTTCAATTTAGTCCTCGTACTTTCATAAAAAAATCAATTAGGTCCTCGTACTTTAAAAAAAATCAAGCAGATCCGCGAACTTTGTAAAAATGTTCAATTGAGTACAATTGCAGGTTACTTGCCATGTCTGCATGTCACCTGCTGACGTGGCACACACATCAGGAAATGGCTGACTGGACTTCCGCACGTGTGTCACGTCAGCAAAATTATTGATGATTGGGCTGTCACATGTGCGCCACGATGCTGGTAACCTATTTACATGGCAAATAACCTGCAAATGGACTCAATTCAATGTTTTTACAAAGTTCGGTGATTTGATTGATCTTTTTAAAAGTATGAGAACCTAATTGACTTTTTCATGAAAGTAGGAGGACCAAATTGACGGTTTTCCTTTCATTAAATTTTCCTTTAGTAGTACAAGTCTAGAAGGTTTTGGTAAAAAAAATTGGGTACGCTAATAATGCATCACCTCAAAATAATTAATACTTCCTCCGTTCTTTTTTTGTTGCAAAATTCCCTTTTTCACGCTTGCCAATGCACAACTTTGACCGTAATTATATTTAATTCTTTATAAGTAAAAAACTTTCAAAAATCAGATTATGAAACTTTGTAATGAGACGAATTCAACAATATTGTTCAAAAAAAATAATAATTCACATACATTAATAAATAAAATGTAGTCAAAGTAGAGTACATGAATAGTGTGTATATTCGAATGTTGCAACTATTATGATACGGAGGATAGTACTACGTAGTACTAAATATGAAAGCATCAAGTGAAATTGGGATGTGCTCCCAGCTTGGGGAGCTGCCTCACTAAGAGATCTATCCCTGTAAGTACGTTTTGTAGTAAGTCAGCCATTATAGGATAATTGTGCCAGAATTAGAAATAGGCAATATAATTGCTAACAATATACGGAGTATTACTCTCTATGGAAACAATCCTGTAGCTATACGTTCTTGCTATATAACTGATATTGCCTGCTTAACAACACTATTTTTACATTACCCCAAACTAGTTTTATATACTCAAAGGCCACAACAGAACCAAGTCAGTCTTGCAGCTAATCCCAGTTCAAATCAGTAGCAATACTGATGAAGCTTTTTAAATATGTTTGGGATTTCTCTCATCATTTTTTTGTAACCCCGTGAATGAAAAGATTCGCTACCAAACAGAACTATAAAGATTTGCACATTAACACTTATCCTCCAAAGACCATACAGAAAATAAAAATAGACACTCACTGAGAGTCTTTGACTGAAAAGCTCTCCTTGAACACAATAACTGGCAGCATCTCCCTCAGCTCCTTCTTCAACCCCAATTCACACTTCACACATAAAATATGAATGAAATAACAGTAATAGTAACAACAGCAGAAGCAGCAACATAAAAAGAAAAAAATTATAAGACTGTATTACTTATACCCTTGAAATCTCATCTGCGGCGGTCTGCAGTGAAGAGGCCCTCGTCCTCAAAGAAGACCAATCGGCACTTTCCCGGCGAAGATAAAAATAGTAGAATAAGAAGAGAAGTATGAAGGCAAAGAAAATGGGAACCGAAAAGATGCAAGCTTGGTAAACCTTAAGCTCTGCTAAAGCTTTTGAGTGTGTGCAACACCTAGCATCATAGTTACTACCATTAGAGCGAATTTCATGGTCGCTCGAAGAATATCTTCTCCCATTGTTAGACGACATCACTCAAATTTCTTCTATCTTTCCTCATAGTCCAATCCCACAAAGCTCCAATTTCCCATTTAGTTGCAGTGTGAGGAACACCCAGATTGGGGATAAAGGAAAGAAAAATGCAATCTTTGGGCTACTAAAACTTTTATTATTGCTACAAATAGTCCTCTCCACATTATTGTAAGGGTTACTGCTCCGGGACCCTTGACATAGCTGAAGGTACAGTACGGGTCCATTAAATTCACTCCAATTGTGGTTGATTTACCGTTAGGATTTATTACTGGAATTCGTTCATTTTTTGAAAAATGCTTAAGGTAGACGTGGTATGGTGTACACAACGTTGGTACCATTTTCTCAAAAAAATGGTACCAAATGTGAGACCATTTTCTCTCTTTCATCTTCCTCATTCCTTCTTCATTCTCTTTTTCTTACCTTTTTATATCAATTTTTTTCATTATTTGTACAAAATGAGCTTATTCATCTTATTTCATTTATTTTTATTAATTTTTTATTTTTTTCAAATTACGTGTAAATTTATCACACATACAACTACATCATTCATTTGGATATATATACACAATTAAATGTTTTGTTCACCAAGACAATTGAAATTGATCACACCGGCAACTAAAGTTGATCACACAAACAACTATTATCTGTGAGATGCACAACTATTGTCTATGTGGTAAATATTGTCTGTTCACACATACAAAATATTTTTCTGTGCAGCATGAAAATATTGTCTGTGTGCATAGACACTGCACATATATTGATTGATTTGCAAGTTGGTGTCAATGTCAGGCGGCTGTCAATCTACTTTTTACAAAAAAAAGTAAATGTCTGTGTACACAGATAAAAAGGTTTCTGTGTAGAAAGACAACTCTTATCTGTGTCCACAGACAATTCCGTACAAATTGTCTGTGACCAACATTTTTTGTACAAGTTGTGTATAATTTGCGTACCCCAAGCATTTCTGCTCATTTTTTACCCTGATTTGCTAACAACATCTCTAATGGAAGGGGGCCGAAGGCCCGGACTAAATTGGAGTCAAACTCATTCCATTGAATATTGAATTCGGAACTTCTCATAAGGGAGAGTGAGTCGGTGATCAGTTGAGCTAGATCGTTTCTGTTGGGAATATTTTATGGTGTTCAATCTAGTTAGTTATCTTTGTATTTGTGTAGTTATCAATTAAATGTGTAATACGGGACACAAATGTGTATCAGCCCAGGGGCTTCCTTGTAACCCGTAAGTTAGCCAACTTCTCCTATAAAAGGAGGCTAACTTACGGGAACCCTAACTATCGATTAGAGGCTTAGAGTGCGTAGAGACGAGATAGAGAGAAGGGTTTCCGCTGCTCTCCTTCTCCAGGGAGAGCAGCGGGGTTTCATACGGTATACCGGATTCGGTTTTAATCTTCTCGATATCTTTCTATCTGCTTATTCTTCTTGTTATGGTTGTTTGATTGTTAGTATTCTGAAACAGGTTTGAATCTATCTGCGTTTTTTTGGATCTAACGAAGAACTGCTCTGCTTTTCTTTTGTTTTTCTTTGGTGTAGAGATTTGCTCCTGTAATCTTGTTTGTAAACGAAATTTTGTAAAAATCATACTGTTGGACCCACCTTTCAAAACCGATCCAGCAGCATACCTTATTTTTCGTTTTCTGCATTTTTTATATTTCGAAGATCTCTACATTGAGATCTCGAAATCCTTATTTTTCACTGTTGCAGAAACGTTTTTGACTTGAAACTGATACAGGAGAATCTCGACCTTCAGGGCTTTTCAGAACAGGTTTCAGATTTTAAAAAATCGAAGTTTTCATTTTGCAGGATCTCGACATTTAGGGACTCGATTTCCTCATCTCGACTTTTGAAATTTCGAGTTTTGAAATCTCGAGTTTTGAAATTTTGAGTTTTGAAATTTCGAGTTTTTGAAATCTCGAGTTTTGAAATCTCGAGTTTTGAAATTTCGAGTTTTGAAATTTCGAGTTTTTGAAATCTCGAGTTTTGAAACATCGAGTTTTGGAATTTCGAGTTTTGGGATTTCGACATTTGGGATCTCGATGTTTTGGATCTCGACATTCTGAAGATTTCGAGATTTTCAAAATTTCTCGATGTTTTGAATTTTTCAAAGTTTGGAGTTTCTTGGATCACTGATTTCTTCTAAACTTGATATCTTTCCTGTTAAGAATACTTCGGAGCTTTACATTTTTAGATATCTGAATGAATCTATGCCTATCAAAGTTTTTAGAAGTTTTCGATGTTCTGATGTTTTTCAAACAGCAAGTTTTCGATTTTCTAATGTTTTCGAAACTCCAAAGTTTTCGATGTTCCAAACATTTTGAAATTCTGCAGATTTCGATATTCTAAGGTTTGTTTTGCAGGTGGATTTTGCCATTATTCTTCGAGGCAAACTCGAGATTATAATCTCGAGATTTAAACCTCGAGATTGTAATCTCGAGATTTAACCCTCGAGATTGTAATCTCGAGATTTAAAACTCGAGATTGTAATCTCGAGATTTAAACCTCGAGATTGTAATCTCGAGATTTAAAACTCGAGATTGTAATCTCGACATTTAAACCTCGAGATTGTAATCTCGAGATTGTAATCTCGAGATTTAAACCTCGAGATTGTAATCTCGTGATTTAATCCTCGAGATTGTAATCTCGAGATTTAAAACTCGAGATTGTAATCTCAAGATTTAAACCTCTTGATTTTAATCTCGAGATTTAAACCTCGAGATTGTAATCTCGAGATTTAAACCTCGAGATTGTAATCTCGAGATTTAAACCTCGAGATTTAAACTTCAAGATTAGGATTTCAAGGTATTGCCTTAGAATTTTGTTTAAAATCCATCTGCTCTCGATATTCAACATCGAGAACCTCAACTTCGAAGAAATTCCTCAAAAACTCAAAATTAGAGATTTTCTGCGAGACCGCACTGTTTTGGCCATAACTTTTGACTCAGTGATCCGATTTGAGCAAACCTTTTTTTGTTGGAAAGCTAAAGAAAAGATCTACATTAATTATCATGCTATGCCCCAGAACCCTTTCTCACGCACCCTTACTCGCAGTCTTTGAGGGTCAAAACGTTAGTTTTCCGACAAACATTGTAAATCATCGATGTCCAGGTCAAAACTTAGGCAAATCTGTTCAAATTCTTTCAATGTCAACCCTGAGGTCAAAGTTTTTCTATGCTCCACTGTAAAGGTCCGAAAATTGCAGATAATTCAATCAACCTCGCGTCAACGGTCATCTTACAACAATCAACAATCAACCACTGAAGCCTCCTCTGACTCATCAACATTATGTGATCATCAATATGCTGAAATTCTACATGATGAGCTCAGGGAAACCGTCATGTGTGGTACTTGTTTAGATTGCTCCACACACATGGCGGGTATGAGGAGCTGTGAGCAATCAAACCTTGCACATTCTGAGGGGGAGTTTCAGTTTTCTCCTACTGGCGCCTTACACTGACAAAGCAAGAAATCTCTCAACGGATGCAACATTCTAGGGGGGGTGTTCTATGTAATCCTCCCCGATGCCTAACAATGACAAAGCATACCGAGTGCTCCAGTTAAGGGGGAGTACAAAGAGAAAATCAATGAGAGAACATGTTCATATGGCTTAGTAAACTCAACTAAAGTCTACCCAAGGGACAAAGCCGAGAGTAAGTGAGTGAGTTAGTGAGTGAGAGTAATCATTATGAGAGTTAGGAAGCAGAAGGCCCAAGTGAGAAGAAAAACAATAATCAATGATGAGTCTGCTACCTCAACTTCCTATTATCCATTGAACATTTACTCCTAGCCACTCAAATACTCTGGACAATTCCCAAATAGGTTCAGGGCTGATTTAATCAGATCTCGGGTAGAAGTCACTGCATCTTGTCCAACAGTGCATGTTGAACCCTATCCAAGACCACTCACTTGTCTCCCAACAGACAGGTGTTTAATCATATTTCACGGGGAACCGCATCTCTCATTACTACCTCCTTACGAGGCAAGTAATACTGACTACAGTGGCCTCAGCCCCATGCCACTGAACTTTCATTGATCACGTCGTGTCTAGTTACCTCACTCCCTAATGTTTTGAATTCTCTAGGACACCGACGCACTTTTTGAGTCAGTTGCAGGTCTTCAAAGACCCGCGAGAACTTCCATAGGTCTCATCTATTGCAGATGTAGACTAATGATTGGAAGGAAGTCCTGATGTTGCAACATAAGAATCACCAACATTTTCAGGCCATTGCTTTAGAGTTTATCTCTATAGTGATGAAAACGGGTGTCTACACGACCCCATGGGGCTTTTATCATTTACTCTTTCTGTTTGTTTCCTGTTTTTTTTTCGCAGAATAAAAGAATAAAATCATGACGCCCCGATTCATCGGATCGTCATGAGGGGGAGAGTAGTCCACATGCTGTTAACACGGAACAAATCATTCTGGGACACTTCACTCCTCTATCACAAAAATCAACACCTTCTCTACTATCTCCGCAACTCAAATGGTCAGCTACGCTCACAATTCAACCATCATTATGTTCCGTTGTGCCACCGACAAGTTCTCCTCAAAAGCATTCATTTCAAATAGTCAAAAAGACTACATTGTTGAGGAGACAAAGGTCAGATAATCAAACTCTGAAGATGAATTCCATGGGCGTCTGAAACTCATTAGAACTATCATTCTAGAGGCGCCACCGGACTTCATCCAAGCTTATCAAGAGCTACTTCTGGAAGGCAAAGTTTTTCAAGAAAAAGATTCCTCAACACCCAACATCAAAGATCAATTTGCTAAGAAAACATCAAAGGGGAGATTGCGAGGATTTCTTCATGAAGCCTTCTCAAGAAGTCAAGTTCAAATGAAAAGGAAGCTGAATAACAACAAAGACAAAGATATCTGCGTTGCAATGCTGATTTAACACGATTGATCACCAAGGGGGAGATTGTTGGGAATATTTTATGGTGTTCAATCTAGTTAGTTATCTTTGTATTTGTGTAGTTATCAATTAAACGTGTAATACGGGCCACAAATGTGTATCAGCCCCGGGGCTTCCTTGTAACCCGTAAGTTAGTCAACTTCTCCTATAAAAGGAGGCTAACTTACGGGAACCCAAACTATCGATTAGAGGCTTAGAGTGCGTAGAGGAG